CACACAGGTCAGAATCTCAGGATGATATGAACAAGAGCACAACTGATTATGTGTTTTGGCAAATGAATCCTGGTAGTGGGAGACAAAAAGGAATTGAAGGGGGGAAATAAAAACGAAGGGGATGAGGTCTAATTTCATTTGTTCCTGATGAAATACAAAGCACTATAGTTGAGCATGCTCTTCTGCATGGACTGACCATGAGGGAAGCTCAGCTACAGGCTCATCTAAAAGGTTTCAATACTACTTACACAATACACATACAATATAATTACACTACATAGGAGCAGTACTTCAGATGAGAGAACTTTCATTATTCTATGTACAGTAAATACTGTAGCACATGTTGTACACCCTCAAACTCATTACTGTTGAATTTATTTGAAGCCAAGTAGCCCTTACATGTACTCTATTTTTGCAGAACTGAGAGACGACTGTCTAGGGGAGGCAGAGAAATCTTTTATCAGAAGACTAAGAAACTGCTATAACAAATAAGGATACTACCAATACTGTAATGCAATTTGGCTTTGAATGAATTTATTTATTTACAGTAACTGACAGTATATTCTAATGTGTGTTCACTGTATATTCTGTTGTTTGGTTTTTGAACTTTTCTCTTCTAGTGCCTTTCATCTACTGTAAGATCTCTTTACAGTAGTGTAACGAAAGTAAACTTTTCTTACAGTTTAATGCTGAATTTGACTGTATCTGCATCCCTCTATTTATGTTGTATACTGTAACAGACATTGACTAGCAAAAGGATTCCTATTTCCCAAAAGGAGGTTTTTGTAACAGTGTTTTGAACTGATTTCACTAGTGTTCTCTAGGCAGTGAAGTAATGTGTGTATTTGACAGGTTTGTGTATCATCTAAGGCCGAAGTTTGAGTCTGACAAAAGATTTTGACCTGGAAGTTTGAAGTTTGAACAAGTTGGTGTATAGTTTTGAGATTGTGTTTATAGTTGTGAGAAGAAAATGGTGAATTGTGTGTTAGCAATCGAGAAAAACTGTAATTTCCAAAGGTGATTCATTTTTTTCACAATAAAAATACTGTAGCACAATTAAAAAAACAAATCAGCATACAGTACTAATTATATAATATTAATAGCAAAATCAAATTATAAGTCATATTAATATTAATTTGACTTAATTTTATAATTTTAACAAAATAATGTAAATAAAATTTCCTCATATATAATTAAATGCCATTAAATGTCATTATGTAAAAAAAAGAAAAGAAAAGAAAAAGTCCAAGTTGCAAAATAAATAAATAAAATTTGAAATCATATTTTGCTAAAAGAAAATGAAAAATATATGATTTCCTATTTTAATTTCTTTTCATGTGACCTGGTGTTTTGGACAGGTTTTGTGAGATTCGCTTACACATAATACCCTTACCCTCATTTAAACACGCATACACACAAGAAAGCAAGCAGAAAAAAAGATATGTGGGTGTGTTTGTACCTGCCAGTGGTGGAACACACTGAGCGCGAAGGCCTGGCCCTGCGTGTGTGTGCGGAGATCAGTTTCAAAGCCAAACGAGTCAATAGCGGGAATGAAAGCCTTGATGGCGTAGAGAGGAGAGCCAGGGATTGGCGCATCCTGCGTCACATGACCTCTATGGGACACACAGACAAGAGATCAGTCAGAGGCTCGTTCTAAAAGGAGACTGTCTTTATTGGAGACTTGCTGACTTTTGCTGCCTTGAGCTACAATCTGCTTAATGTGAGTGTGTGTATGTGTTAACAGACGAGGAGTCAGCAATGTCCTCGTTCTGTTTGTGTGTATTGTACCTCCTGCGTGCCAGCACCGTGTACACAGCAGAAACGCAGTCAGCAGGGGCCTGAACCTCCACAAAGTAATAGGGCTCCATCAGCCTGGGCGTGGCCTACAGAAACCAACCAATCACAAAGCAAGGAAAAAGAGAGGGTGAGCAAGTGAGAAACCAATTACGATAATCAACTTAATCTACTGAACTGAGTTAATGGATCACGTAATTGAATGAACCAGTCCAATAAGACTAATGGAAACATTGATTAGGCAGAGAAAGGAAACAGAGGAAGATGAGGGAAGAAGAGAGGTGGCTAAACAGACCTATGGAAGGATAGATTACCATCAGGAAGGCAGAGTAGACAACTCTGCGAGCTGTAGGGATGACCTGTCCTCCTCCTCTGTGCAGCGGCTCCTGTGCGATCACTGCGTCCAGGATCTTAAACTTCACGTTGCGGATTGCTGAACGCAGGGAATGACAAGGAGATAGATTTGTTATTTAGCACAAACAGAAACACCAAACTGTAGCCATTTACAAAGAGGACATTTGCATATGAAAAACTTAAAGGCACAGTAGCAAAAGCACTGTGAGGGTGGAAAACGGCAATTAAAGGAAAAAGGGGAAGAAAATGTAACCTTACAAATGTGCAAGTTTCGCTCAAAATTTTGAGATCATGACATTTAACTTAGTAGTGCACTGATATTAACATTCTGGACGATAATTACGGTCATTTTATGGCTGATAAACAATACAACTGCTAATACTAAATGTCTATACTATGTCGTCTAAATAAGTTAAAAACAAAGGCACCGAAAACTAATATCTATATTTTCAAGTGCTACAAGTGAATCTAGACATCACAACATTTTAATGTATTTTATGAATAATGGACATTCATTTGGAGATTTGCTAAAGATTACATTTAACAGTGTTATTAAATTATTAGTGTTTTTAAAGATTAACTTTATGTGAGCGTTCAAAGATGGCAAAGGCAAACTAAATGTAAAAATATATTAAATATCCAATGTTGGTGGATGATGATGGTCACACTTTATTTAAAGTCCAATTCTCACTATTAACGAACCCTAAAACTACCACTTTTGCCTCAAACTCCTAATTTGCTGCTTATTAATAGTTAGTAAGGTAGTTGTTAAGTTTAAGATTAGGAATGTAGAATATGGTCATGCAGAATATGTGCTTTATAAGCACTAATAAACAGCCAATATGTTAATAATAGGCATGCTAATAAGCAACTAGTTAATAGTGAGAATTGGAATTTTTTCCCAATACTCTGATTCTTATTAGATTATCGGTTTAAAATACTGTAATATAATAATGATTTTTAAAATTTAAATCACCATACATTACAGTACAATAAATACTATTGTGTCTAAATACATTAGTATTTACTAGACAAATACTAGATTTTCTTCCTCAAATTCTCACTTTTTAAATTCACCAATTCAGACTCTTTTTTGGTAATTTTCTATCATTAATGTTGAATGTTAAATCTCATTAGGTTATTAGAGTAAAAATACTGTAATAAAACTCTTAAATTCAATAATTATTAATAATACACGTTATTAATAATTGACTAATTAACATAATATTATTAGTGCTGTCAAACGATTAATCGCATCCAAAATATGTTTTTGTTTATATAATATATGTGTGTATACTGTGTATATTTATTATGTATACATAAATACACACTCATACGGTAAATATTTTGAAAATATTTATATATAAATATTTAATATACAAATATAAAATTTATCTTAAATATATATGTGCGTGTGTATTTATATATACATAATAAATATACATAGTACACACACATATATTATGTAAACAAAAAACTTTTATTTGGGATGCGATTAATTGTTTGACAGCACTATATATTATATAATTAATTAAATTAATAGGCTAAATTAATTGGTCCATATACTAAAGTGTTACCTTGGCTGATATATATCAAATATCAACCGATAACAATATACAGAGCATCCCTAATTTAAATAAGCATATTTATTTAAATATTAGGGTTACCCATATTAACCCTAAGAACATTATTCATTCTGTGGTGCTTTTTAGACTGTTCAGCCTTCATAACCATTGAAAGTTCTCAAATAAAATGTCATGCACTGTCTCACGTTCATCGCACAAAGGACCCTCGCGTGTGCCCCACTGGAAGCCCTGTACAATGCTGTCCTTCACTGAGCCAAGAAGAGCTTTATCTACCTACAACACACACAGAGAAAGAAAACAGATCATTTATCAAATAATGTAGCTGTCAACAATTTAAGCACACCAGTGCACAACTTCTCACAAAAACAGACACATTGTGTCACATCCAATCATATGCGACGTCAATTTTTTCCACACGCAAGCACACAGACACCAAACGACGACACACAAACACATCCATTCCAAAAGATTTTAACACACACATCTACATTCAAATGGCCAAAGGCACTATTTTAAAATTTATGTCAATATAGTCAGAGGAGAGGTGAAGTCAAATATCCAGAATTTCTTTCATTTGCAACCCAATTACAGCTGAATTGTATAAAAAAAAATATTACAAAGACTTCATGAATATAAATGAACCTTGCAGAGCATGATTAATATCAGCTGATATGCAAATTACCTCAGAGGGCAAAGTGTCGTCTACTAAAATGTTGGGCCCGGTTGTGTCAGGTCCAAAAGCCCAAATTGAACGAGCTGCTAGCAAATCCCAGTCATACTTCGTCTGGAAAAACTCTCCCAACTTTTTTCTACAGAGAGAGAGAAAAAAAATCTACATTTATTGGTTTTAAAATAGTGAACAGATTTGAAGTGAAACAGTAGATCTTGTCGGTTGAACTGCACCACATAAACTACCACTTAAAAGTTTGTGGTTGTTAAATATAAATTTTTTTTTAGAGAAGTATCCTATGCTCAACAAGGCTGCATTTATGTGATCAAAAATACAGTTAAAACAGTAATACTCTGAAACATGTTGGTGATGATTTGGTGCACAAGAAACATTTATCATTATCAGTGTTAAAAACAGTTATGGGTCCTAATATTTAATATTAAGAAAGACATCTTTGTGTTACATATAACCCAGAAGTTCTCTACAGTTCTGACATGTTATTTTACCTGTTCCACGTGATCTGCACCACCTCGTTCTCAATGTCTTCGGCTAGACCCTTCTCCAACGGCTCGGCAATCATGGTAATCTTATTCCTGCCAATCACACACAGTGTTACAACTCAAGTTCTAAATGGTGGTGCTGAGATACAGGAAGTTTGTTCCTTACTTTTTATTGGGCGTTTCAGCAAAACACTTCAAGGAGGACGTCTCTACCACAGTCTCACAGAAGGTCACTACTGGATCAGCCACCTATTGTGAGAGACCAAAGAAAAATCACATGAAAATAAAAAAACATAGGCAAAAAGAGAGGAAAGAAATTTGTATGACAGCAAAAGAGCACCTTGATATCGATCTCAGAGTACATCTTCCGCAGGTCGTGCATTACACAGTCCAGGTACAGCTCACCTGTACCAAGAATCACATGTTCTCCTGACTCCTCCACCTGAACTCACACAAACCAGCACAGATTAATATGAAGCAAGCTAGTAAAAAGATTAAAACACATGATAGTTATGAATCTTGATACACTTAAAAAAAATCATAAAGTAACCCTGCTGATTGTCAGTGCAAGTATATGTAACATCTGGTTTGGTCCAGAGGCTCAAAACATGAAAAAGATATGGTTTTAAAACAAAATTGGTACCGTGGGGTGTTCTAGGGAGTGTTACCTTTGTTGTAAGTGACGGATAACTTTTGTTGACTTTTCTGAGTCCATCCAACATCTTGGGCAGTTCTGAGGGATTGACCGGCTCCACAGCGATTTTTATCACTGACGCGGTGTTAAACTTCAATGGCCTGAAGATCTGAGCCTACTCACACCAATTCAACATTCAACTTCCAAAGTCTCATAAATGAACACTGTATTGTTTCGAATAGATATCTCTTTCCTACCTCTTCATTTCCACGGGGCTCTGTGATCGTGGCCGTTTTAACAATAGGCTGGTCGCACCCTTCGATCAACACCCAGTTACCAGCAGGGACACGATTCACTTCAATCTGATACCTTACATAAACACATAAAACATAACATTTACAAAGACTACAGTGGGGGGGACTGATGTATGATTTACTTTGAAACAGTTTTCACTCAGAAATAGTACATTTTTACAAAACAACAAATAATACATTGAACTAAGCTTGAAATGTTTAAGTAGAAAGATTAAATACTATTTTTCTTTTAAAACATACTCCAATGATATCTATTTTACTTTTATCTTTGGGTCTCAAGATGACATAAAATGATTTAAAATAAGACAAAACAAGTCTTTAAAATAATAATAGTCTTGAAAAACCTTAATTTTTAAAGTGTGACTTCTAGAACCAGATTAATAAAATCATATAACTGCATGGGCATTTTTATAATAATATATTTTTTGCTAGTTATGCCAATCTCAGTTTTTTTATGGGGTATACACTGAATACAAAATGTATATAAAAAAAATCCTTAAGAAATTCTTAAATCCTGAACAACTAGAAAAGTCATGGGGCCTTCAAGTATTGTTGGGGAAAATGGGGGACCATGGACTAATAATGCTAGGGAAAAAAAAAAGAGCAATCAGAAAGACAGAGTGTGACGGTCACCTAGCAACAGAAATCCACAGGCGTCCGACATTACAGATCTGTGAGTCCTCCTCATCTTCCAGGCTGTAGTTCTCTCCCAGAACCTTCACCGGCTGGCCCGCCTGCAGGGTTCCGCTCAGGACTCGACCAAACGCGTGGAACTGCACGCCGTCATCTGTGCTGTACATCTTAGTGGTGTGGCACATCAGTGGACCCTAAGAAAGAAGAGATAAAAAGAGCTTGGCTTACTTCTCTGGGCTTGTGTCATTGAGATATTTACATTTTTAGGCTTGTTAGGGTCAGTAAGATGGTCACATTTTATTTTAAGGTTCAATTCTAGCTATTAACAAACCATTAACTATGACTTTTGCCTGAATAATCTCCTAATTTGCTGCTTATTAATAGTTACTAAGGTAGTTGTTAAAGGGGTCCTATTATGCTTTTTCAACTTTAGTTAGTCTGTAATGTTGCTGTTTGAGCATAAAAAAGATCTGCAAAGTTACAAAGCTCAAAGTCCACTTCAAAAGGAGATATTTTATTTAACAGAAATCACTTTTCAAAAACTACAACGAACGACTCGTTTGGACTACAACGCATATTTTCCGGGATTTGTGATATCACAAAGATCGACGAATGGGACGAGACCTGGTTGAGCTGCACTAGAGAAGGCAACGAGTGTTATCACTATGTCTGAGACACGCTAGCTTTCTCAAGGCAGATGGACATAGAGTGGTTACAATCCTCCAGGTTTAAATCGTGCTCAAATTGATTTGATTTTGATGCAATATTTACACTGAAGCTCGCACGCGGATATGGTAAGGGGCATGACATTTCCCGACCAGGCGCCAAGTGCTGCCAATCACAGCACACACTGCATCGAGAATTTGTGACTTATAAGCACTAATAAACAGCCAATATGTTAATAATAATAGGCATGCTAATAATCAACTAGTTAATAGTAAGAATTGGTCCCTATACTGAAGTGTTACCAATTTTAAAAGCACTTTAAATCATTTTACAAGCTGAATGTCAAACTTACATCAGGGTCACACTCAGACATTGTCTCTCCGAGGTCTGAGTCCAGTCCACCTGTGTAGCTGTGCTCTATCTTGGCTCTGGCACCCCCCTGAGGAGATGGTATGTGTTGCACACACATGTCCACAAAGCCTGTTGTATTAGCACATATTATTAGATTGAACGAACCTGACACGTGTGCAAGAATTATGATTTATCACAACAACACAAGAGCACAAAATAAAAGACACTCGCCTGTAAACTCTCCAAAAAAGCGGTTACAGACAAGGCGCAGCAGAGGTCTGATGTTGAGCTTTAATTCCTCTTTAGTCAGATGAATGCCGAGCTCATCCAACACACGAGGCAGAGACGTATCCACATCCCCCACCACCTACAGACACACCACAGTTACACGGCCTGTGTATTTGACTGCCCGAATGTGCATACATAAAAGAAATGTGAGTGTATTATTTCTCACCTGTGAAAGAATCTTGTACAGCGGCTCTAGTACGAACTCAACAAAGCTGCGCTGAGAGTTGCTGTTGGGGGCTTTCTTTGTGAATTTCCTCCTGACAGGCACAAAACGTGACCGTTACAATCGAGAACAAAAAAAACATGCTGCCCTTCTGCAAATTGTCTGTGAAATAAAATTTGCTTCAGATTCTTACGTTTTAGGGTTAAAGTAAATGTCTCCCCACAGTCTTTTAGCAAACTCCATGTAGTTGATGTCACCTGGAAAACAATTGAGAGTAAAAAAAAAAAAAAGGTTGATGTTTTCAGACAGAAGCACTGAGGATGCATTTGAATTTGTCTTTTTTGTGCGTGTATTTCTCACCGTAGGTGTCTGAATAGATCTTGGCAAAGGAGCCAAGAGTGAAGCAGATGCTGTATTGTGAGGAAGCAAAACACACGTTCCCCAACAGGGGAGACACAATCAGAGACTCATCGGTGGAGTATGTGCTGCCAGAGAGGAAAAAAAGAGCTTATTCTATAGAATTTCAGACAATAGAATTCTATAATTGCTAAAAACAATTAAATTCATTAAAAAAATGAATATCAATAAGCAAGTGAAAGACAAACAGCAGATCTAAGATTTGTCTCAATATCATGTTGTATCTACCAAAACCTCTTCCTTTAAACACAGTGAGGTACCTCAGCAAGCCGTTGACCTCATCCACAATGTGGCGCAGTTTGTAGTAGGCATCTGTAGGGGGCAGCTTGAGCTCCACGATCAGACGATCCACTTTATTAATACAGATAGTGATGGCCAACTTCTCCTGCACTGCATGCTTGATCAGTCGCTCAGTGTTTAGCATCACCTGAACACATTCAAATGTTTATACTTACATAACAAAGCTAATTTAATTTGACAAATATAATATAAGCTTACGAAAAACATTATGTTAAGACAGTGAACAGAAAGCGGCTGTCACACGGCATGTGAGTACTAAACTAAGTTCTCATTCATGTCTTATTGCACTTAAACTGTCAAAAGTTTATGTTACAAACAGACATGAGTTTGTAAACAGTTGGTTATGTCTGTGAAGGGAAAAAAAGTGTTTATATTAGATTTGTGTGGCAGCAGCGTAAATATACAGTAAATAAATCAATAAACGCACTGCTCTCTTGTCTCCTCTGAGGCTGGGACTCTAAACAGTGTTATGTGCTCATCTGTGCAGCCAAAGACAGAACAGTTAGCATGCTTTGCTTGAACTTTTGCCATGGTTTTAGAGCTGGTACACCGTTGTTGCTTGCGAAATCAAAATGACGACTCCGTGGGTGGAAACTAGCAGATTAAGGGGCAGTAATATTATAATAAGATCCTACTTCACTAGGTGAGCGAAATCTGAGCGGTTCATTTTTTCACAAGCTTGCAGAGAAAGGCTTACCAAAATAAAGTTACTGGGTTATCATTTTTCATGTTTTCTGGGTTGGTAGATGCACCAGGGAACCGATTATAACACTTTCATGATATGTCACATTTAAAGACATCTATAATGTTATAATAAATGCTGTTCTTTTGAACTCGCTATTAATCAATGAATCTTATAAATTCATTGATTAATAGAAAGTCAAAAAAATACGTAACAGTTTTCACAGAAGTATTAAGTAGCACAACTGTTTCAACATTGATTATGTTACTTGAGCAGCAAATCAGCATATTAGAATGATTTCTGAAGGATCACGTGACACTGAAGACTGGAGTAATGATGCTGAACATTCAGCTTTGCCATCACAGGAATAAATTACTTTTTTAAATATATTCAAATAGAAAACACTTATGGTAAAATGTAATAATATTTAGCAGCATATAAAATCTTGTTAAAATTGTTCCAATTTTTGTCATTTGCAATTGACAGTAAACCTGTGACATATTAAATATGAAAAGACAAAGTAGCTGTGTAGTGCTTCATATTACACTTGTTGCATTGTATGTTCATTAGCGAATTGTTCATGGAAATGCCAATTTTAAAGGGGTCATATGATTTCAATTTTTCCTTTCTCTTTGGAGTGTTACAAGCTCTTGGTGCATAAAGAAGATCTGTAAAGTTGCAAAGACTAAAGTCTCAAATCCAAAGAGATATTCTACTTTTCAGAACAATGAGCTTGTAAAAATCGATGCGTTTCAAAAAGGTGGGGCATAGAGGAGAAACAATAATGTACAGTTTGTGGAAAATAATGTGTTTTTTTAACTTTAAACCTCATAAACACATTTCATTACACCAAATAAATTTTCTTTTTAGCAGCATCATATGACCCCTTTAAAGAACTTTAATTAATCATGTAAAGTTCAGTTTTACCACCTGTATTATTATGGTAGTTTTTGTAATTGAAATGTTGATATATTAACTCATAACAATTAAAGAAATACACATTTATGTACTGTAAAATATGCAGGCACCAAAATGCCACCTTAGTGAATTTCTGGCATAGTTGCCAGTTTACATTTAACAGGATTTATTTTACAGTCAAGGATGAGAGAGGCAGAGAGAGAGAGAGAGAGACGAGCCTACACAGAAATTCGTTCTGATCGTGTTTCATGAATGAGGGCCAAAGTGTTTCTATAGCAGCTGGCCTCAGTGAAGCATAAAGCACCTTACTGTCCATGTTTTCTGAGAAAATCAAACTGAACATTGTCTCTTCCACATTGTTGCATCACTTACAAAATGCAGGAGAAACAAAGAAATTCACAGAACCCACTTCTGTATGAGTGCATGTCTTTACGAATCAGCAACATGTTGCATCTACCAGACTATATCATGTAGTCATCAACATTTTGTGACACTACACGGTAAATTTTCATGAGTGGTTTATACTTTATTTTCAGACCGCATTAACAGCGTATCTTAATAAAGCTATTGTTATGTGATGACATCATTCATGCAATATAATATGTGTCTACGTGATTGCATGTGAACCCTCATATCATCACAAATAGATCTCTGGATGGAATAAATCATCCTAAGTGCACGGGTGGAATAACAGATGACGTTTTCCACCATCCCGATCTGTTCGTGCAGAGGTTTTGGAACGGGTCGGTGCTGAAACGTGTGTAAGAAAGGAAGCGCCCATGCTTATTTGCAGCAGGGCTTATGTGTACCATCTAAAATCTATCTGAGGAAATGGCGAGGAGACCTCAAGACCTCTTGGGTGCAAGAGATCCATTTTCCAGGGGCTTGATGCCAAATGTCACAAACATAAACATGATGGTGCCAAATGCACAGACCATGTATCATGAGCGTAAATACTCTGGCATAAAGAAGAAATTTATTGCGGTGTAGAAATGCTGTAGCGGCCATAACGGACAAACAGGGTTACTGTAGCACAGCTGGTAGGGGATGGCGCTGCAACACCAAGCTCATGGGTTCAATTCCTATGAAACATGCAAACTTTATCGAATGTATTAATAAACACCTTGATTCAAGTATTTGCCATAAAAATAGCTGATACTCTCTCCTTCTTAGCAGAATTCTTGTATTTAGTTTTATAATTCAAGTTTTGTGTTTGCATGTATGCATGGTGTGTGAGTGTATTCTCTGAGGTGCTGCTCTACTAACTCTCTCATTACTCATTTTGATCAGCACACCTGGGCAGCGGCGAAAATAAACGACACACTTTCCCCCATGTGCAATCCCACTCTTCTGTTCCGTATCAAACACTAATGTCTGTTCCATTACAGCTGCATGTTCATTTTCTGTTGCTTCTGGCTGTCTTTGGTGCAACCTCATCTCTAACATTATGTATATATAGGCTACAGTAGATTTAGGTCTATATCTCAGATCGCGCCATCTACTGTATCTACTCCATTACTGGACACACACACACACACACACACACACATACACATACATACACACACCTGTTAATCTGCAGTTGGTCCTTGTGCTGTAGTTGATGAGACTCTTGGTTGTCGGTACTCGGTAGAGAGAGAGGAGAAAATATCAGAAGAGCTCGTCAACCCAATTTACATAATGAAATCACAACAAGAGGCTCAATTAATGCTCGTTATTTAATTCTTTTGTGAAACTGAGGCATTACGTAAAGCTATTTTGTGTATTTTGCTATTTCATATAGCTATTTTCTTTACTACCTCTAAACAGAAATGCAATAAACAGAGCTGGGTAGTAACTGAATACAACTTGATGTAATCTGGATTACGTAATCAGATTTAAAAATTAAGTACTTGTAATTAGATTAAATTACATTTTAAAATACTCTTATTAGACACCTGTTACATTTTTATTGATTATATACTCACACAATAGCAATAAATTCATAATTTTCAGAAAATCTCGTTCTCTCTCTTTTTCACCTTTCTAAAATAGCCTACTGCTAGAAAGTCTTCCAGTTTTGTGGACATTCACACAGAGATCAGTCATTAGTCAGGTGGCAACACAGCATTTGACCACTGGATTTACAAAAATCATTTCAGATTTAAGACGCGTTTCAACATTTCATCAACTACTAATGAACACATTCATTTTTATGATTTGATTTATTTTTAGCTTTTCATTAAACTCACAACCCCCCTTTATGAACCCCAGTTTGGGAAACCTTGATGTAATATAATGTTTAATTGCACTTCATGTTGTTAATAACAACAAATGGAATATATTTTCTTGCTGTTTGTATTTTTATATCAACATGGTAAAATAATCTCCTGTGATAAATGAGTTAGGTCAGAAGTAATCTAAAAGTAATCAAAAAGTAGTCTGATTATATTACCTATAATGTGTAATGTAGTGGATTATGTTACTAACTACAATTTTTGTAATGTAATTTGGAATCAGTCATATTCTAATCATACTAGACTTTCTTTCTTTCTTTCTTTCTTTCTTTTAAAGACATTTTATTCAGCAAGCATGCATTAATATGATCAAAACGGTGACAAAATTACTGATTTATGTAGACATTTATAAAAAATAAATATACTACAATGTATTTGAAATACATTTATTTCATGCTAAGTATACTACAAATACATTCACATATTCATATGCTTAATAAAAATACCCTGCAATTGTACATTTGGTATACTAAACTGCTATACTTAAAGTCTGCTAAATTGGAACAACTAATTTTGTGTTTAATGCACTTTAGTTGTGTGGAAGTAGCGCTGAAGTCCAACTAAAGATATACTGAAGTATATTTGTGCTAAAGTGGAACTATTGCAAGTATACTTCAGGTACACTTCAAATATCTTGCATTTAAAGACCGATATTATTCAAAGATCATACAATCCTCATCAGTAGTGACATTAAAACACATTTTAGGCTTAATATTAAGAAATGAGCATTGCGCACAAGTAGTACTCCAAATAAAGTTTAATAATATTTTTTTATATCAGGAAGTCTTGAGCGATATGTCAGTAAATATGTTAATAGATTTGAAATATACTTAGTATGAAATAAATGTATTTGAAATTTATTACTTTTTTACTAGGGATGTTACAAAAGGTTTCTAAAATGCTGGTTTTTTTTACCTATTCATCAAAGAGTCCTGAAAAAATTTATCATAGTTTGCACAAAAATATTAAGCAGCACAAATGTTTTTTTTTAACATTTATAATAAGAAGAAATGTTTCTTAAGGTCCAAATAACAGCATATTAGAATGATTTCTGAAGGATCATGTGACACTGAAGACTGGGGTAATGACTTGAAAATTCTGCCATCACAGGAATAAATTCCATTTTTAAATATTAAATTAGAAAAGTTATTTTGAATTGATATAAAAAAATGATTAAAAAAATGCAGCCTTGGTGAGCATAAGAGACTTATTTAAAAAACATTACAAAATCTCACAACCTTTAAACAG